TTTTTCTTTTTAATATTTGTGCTGTTTTCCTAGCTGACATTTCCATTTCAAAAACATAGCATGATTCAAGGGTGAAACCTTTAGACTACAGCCATGATGCGATTATGGTCCTGGCCTTACCCCTGGTCTTTGGGCCCTGATGGTCTGATGCTCTTCCAGGTGCAGACTGACTGGAAGGTGACAGCTCAGAGCTGAGAACTGGGAGGGGAAAGCATTTAGATCTTGCCATTAACTTTCCGCTAAGAGGTTAAGTATTTGTGTAGAAAATTAAAAATACATATAAAGTAGGTTTGTTTTGAAGTACAGGTAAATCAGCTCTGTTGTAAGCGATTAGGTCAGCTTCTACCCAAACTTCCTTCAGTTCTTCCTTTTAAAATTTTCTTAGGCATATAATGCAGTGTTCATAAGAGCTGTTCCACCTCTTGTTACCATTTCACCTGTTAATAAAAGATGTTGTCTCTTCCCAAGGATTACTACGGAATTACATTCCCTGCTCCTGCAACCTTGACGGGCAGAGATGGGAGCCTTGCAAACAATCCGTACTCAGGTGAGTGCTGTTTAAAGATGAGGATGGTAAGTGAGATGTGCTGGTTTCTAAATGCAGGTCATTCTGCCGTTGCTGAAAAAGCAATCATTTTTCCCCTCTGTAAGGAGTTAAACCCATCAGTCCAAACTAGTTAAACAAAAGCAAGCATCTCCATCTCAACCCTGCCACTGATGTTTCTTCATGGTTTTGGTCAGTAGTTCCTATGTGGCTTCTTCTGGGTCTAAGGTGGACAGCCTTTGAGAATAAGTGCAGAATTGTTATGAATGTAAACAGCAGTGTCATCTAGTGCCCTTCCCAAGCATATACAGCTGCTTGAAAAATATTCCATAGCTCAGTCATTCTTCTCAAAATGCAACTTGGCTATCTTTCGTTTTTTGACACTGGAATAGACCTCCCCCTAGCAGCTCCCCATACGTCGTTACTGCTGGTTTACTACTTGTATGTTCCCAGCAGGAGCTATATCTAGCAGGCTTTCCCTCACCCTCCCCAAATCTAATAGACATCATTCCCAAAAGCATGTGGTCTAAGAAGCTCTTCCTTATTCCTGCTCTTGCTCTTCAGTTACCAGAGTGCAGAGATGATGCTAATGCCATCCAGGATGTTCAGTCAGTAGTTTTCATCCACTCCCATTTGATTACAATTTAAAACTGTAGCCATAGGCGTTATAATTCCTATAAAGATGGTATTAAGTGTTGTCATAATTCTTGGTAGCCAACAAAAAGGAATACTGGTTGGGAATGAGATAGGTGTGATTTATGTGTGTCACCTCCCTAAAAAACACGTGAACGTGCTGCTCTGTAGGCTGCCAGAAAATGCAAGTGTTCAGGAGTTTTCTGCTTCATAATCACTTCTCTCAGGAGGCTGCTTTTGGGTTAATAATTAAATTTCCCTTCCTACTTCTTCAATAAGGTGGCCCACGATGCAAGCCTTGCTTTCCTGGCCTTCAGCTACTGTCTCCAGAACTTTGGTGGTGTGAGGAACCAGACATCTAACTAGTCATGCTTGACAAATAAACAGACATTGACAAAAACATGCCCGTCACTGCTTCTAAATCCTAACTTGCTTTCAGCCCATGAAGCTTAGCTAATCAGTTTAACCTCCAGGAGAGTTACACTTTAACCCAACAAACATTTGCTCTTTGGCTATTTGCCATCCTTCTGCTTTCAGCGTTTTATTGCAGTGATCTGCTAGTAATGAATCTGCTTGGACCGTGTGAAATGGGTAAGTATTGGTATCTCCATTTTATCAATGGATTAGCCATGGCACGGTGTTCTGTGCCACGAACAGGCAATGTCCCTGTGGCCATCAGGAACAGAGACCGGGAGAGCGCTTCCCATGACCAACTGCAGCCTTTCAGGTGTAGGGTGTGCTCTCTTCTGTAGTATTCAGAGGATTTGAGTCCTTTCAGTCCACCACATTCGGAGTAGCTTTGATAGCTTTTTCTGATTGGTTCTTTCTTGCGCAGGTGACGTAACGAAATTTGGCCGTGGGGATTCTGCCTCCCCTGCTCCTGCCACCACGCTCGCCCAGCCGCAGCAGAGCCAGACGCAGACTCACCACACCACTCAGCAGCCCTTCCTCAACCCGACCCTGCCCCCGGGCTACAGCTACACTGGGTTACCTTATTACGCTGGCGTGCCCGGGGTACCCAGTGCATTCCAGTATGGGCCAACCATGTTTGTAAGTGTGACACCCTACACACCGTAACCCTCCCTTCCTGCTTCTCCACTTGTGCTCTCTCCAGTCCCAACCTACGTCTTGGAATCACAGGGTGGTTTGGGTTGGAAGGGACCTTCAAAGATCATCTAGCCCAGACCCCCTGTCACGGGCAGAGACTTCTTTCAACTAGACCAGGTTGCTCAAAGCCCCATCCAACCTGACCTTGAACAATTCGCAACCCACAGCTTCTTTGGGCAACCTGTTCCAGTGTCTCACCACCCTTGTCGTAAAAAATGTCTTCCTTATGTCCAATCTAAACTTACAGTCTTTCAGTTTAAAATCGTTGGCCTTTGTCCTGTCACTACAAGGCCTGGTAAAAAGCTTTTCTCCATCTTTCTTATAAGTATACTTATAAGTATTTCTTATAAGTTTCTTTAAGTATCAAAATGGCGCAATAAGGCTCTACTCAGAGCCTTTTCTTCATCAGGCTGAACAACCCCAGCTCTCTCAGCCTGTGGTCATCGGAGAGGTGCTCCAGCCCTCTGATAATTTTTTATCTTCTCCTCTGGACCTGCTCTAACAGGTCTATGCCTTTCTCATACTGGGGACTCCAGAGCTGGATGCAGTACTCCAGGTGGGGCCTCACCAGAACAGAGTAGTGTTGTTTTCCCAAGTCTGCAAGGGGTCTCCAAAAAACTTGCAAGCATGAGAAAATGGGTGTAGTCCCTTCTCCAAGAAGACAGGAAATTTGAAAGGCCCGAACTCATGGACTCCTGTGCAGGTCACTGTAGATAGCAGACAGCTGCAGCTCATGGACTGAGTGTGCCTGAAAGCCCTTACCAGTCCCTGGAGAGTCAGCAAGCTGAGAGTGCTTCGGAAGTCCTTTGAGGAGGGAGGAGGCCCCATTAAGTCAGAAAGCAGCACTGGTAGTCCCGGGAGGAGGTGGTGCTCCAGGCAGAAGGGTAGATGACTCTGTTTTAGGGCCCTGTAGGACTGTCTCTTGTGAAACAGCCTCGGGCAGGAGTTGGTGTTTCGTTTGATTCTGAAGGCAGAGCGCTGTGGTTGCTCCTTCTTTCCGTTTGTGGGTAAGAATTTGCTGTTTACAGTCAGTGTGTGAAGGAAGTGTTCAGCCTGTTCTGGGGCAGGATGGCAGTGCCATCCGAGGGACATCTTTAGGAGAAAACTCGGGGCTTGCAGAAATCCACTACAAGAAGTTATTGCTGGAGGTGGGAGTGCCGTGTCCTGGTCCCTGCCGGTGCTCCCGATGGAATTCCATTCCCAGATGGAGTTTCCCGTGGTGAGGTGGAGGTGCCTTCCCCACTAGAGGGCAGAGGGACCTTGTGTTTTGTGTGCAGTTCCTCGCTTAACGGCGCCCTTTGTTGCCTCCCTTGGTCCAGGTGCCTCCAGCATCTGCTAAACAGCACGGAGTCAACCTGAACACGGCCTCGACTCCCTTCCAGCAGGCGAGTGGCTACGGGCAGCACAGCTATGGAGCAGGTATGCTTACCACTGCGCTTCTCACCCCAGCCTCTGCAGAGCTGCTTGCACTCTGTAACACCTTGTCTTGTACACACCGGCAGGCTACGATGACTTAACGCAGGGAACGGCAGCTGGAGAATACAGCAAAGGAGGCTACAGTGGGTCATCTCAAGCACAAAACAAATCTGCTGGCACTGGACCTGGGAAAGGTAACACCTGCGACTTGAGGTTGCTCCTGAGAGGGGTTCGGTAGGGCAGGCTCCCAGTTATTGCCAGTGCTGTGTAGTCAACACAGCAGCCAGCTCTAAACCAGGGTCACGATCCAAGCTGTTTCTCCATCTCCCGTACACAAAATGCTTTTTTAATGGCCCCAGTGTTCCTTCTAAACTTCATGGCTGATCTTTGCGTAAGGATTTGTGTGGCTGATGCACAGCTTTGTCCACGGTTATACCTGGGAGAAAGGATGAGCTGTTTCCTCTGCCAAGGTTTTCTTTGCTGAAGCGTAGTGGTCCTGGAGCAGTGTCGTGTTCTTGAAGCCTGAGCAGTTGGATGCTGCTGCTGAAATGGTCCTCTGCCAAACGATGGCTAGATCTTGAGTTTCTTGGTAGGCACTTGAGATAGCTGAGTGTTAGAGGCAAGCAGAGCAGTTCACACATCTCTGGGCTGTTGTTTCAGCTGCTGTCTGTACACCCTGTAACTCATTGCATTGTTTCATGCCTGGAAATGTTTCCTTTGTGACTGCAAAGGCTTAAGAATTTATACAGCTTATATGGAAGCTTTATTCTGCACATGCTGGTTGGACCTGAGAAGCATATACTGAACTGCTTAGCACTAACTAGTTCATCCTTGGGCTTAAGCAAATACCAAGCATTTGTTGTGCATCTGAAACACCAACTGGACTGTCTTCAGCCAAGTGCTGATCCTGCTCTGTGGAGGAGCAATCCAAAAAAGAGCAGTGTCCTAGGAAGGGCACAGCCTTAGAGCAGTGCACACCTTCTGAGTCCAGTCCTCTGATTCACTGGCCAAAGGAACTGCTGTTTTTATTCTGATCCAAGTGAAATGATTAGAGCTAGTCTTTATAAGACTGTGAATAAGAGGCTGGTTTGAGAGCCACCTCACTGGTGATTGAGTGTTTCTGAGCCTATTGTGCCACCAGCTGGTCCAGGTGGAAGCTGGCCTGAATCAGTGATATTAATCCTCTCCGGGCAGGGGGACAGTGCAGACCTCACCCTTCTGCAGAATGTGAAAGGACAAGGGCTCAAATGTGTAGCAGATGCCGAGTCTCATCGCTCAGCCCACTACTGGAGAGCTCTCTAATGTTGCAGTAGAGCCAAATGCATCCCTAATCCTAGGGGAAAGCTGGCTTTTCACGAGCTTAAATGAGAGTTCAGTGCCGCCAGCTGCTGCCTGGTGAAGAGCGTTTGATCCAAGCGGTAACCGCTGGGTCACAGACGTGGGTGATTTATCCCTACAGTGGGCTGGTTTCCCACTTTGCAGCAGGAGCGAGGAGCTGAGCCCCTTCTTCTGTTCCTATGGGTCTGGCTGTGGGTCTGAGAGCACAGAGAACCCCACCAGGCTGTCTGGCAGCCACAGCAGGACTTGTGGTGGTTGACTTTGCCATTGTCAGTGGCTTTTTTTTTTTGTTTTCCAGGTGTTTCTGTGACCTCAAGTAACACAGGTGTGCCTGATATCAGTGGCTCAGTCTACAACAAGACTCAGGTGAGCCACGCTGGACCCTCCTCCCTTGTGGCCTAAGTCCAGCCCAACGGCTGTCCCTGGGGAGTGCTGGCAGCTGGGGTCGGTCTCAGGGTCACCAGCCATGGCATTTCTTATGCTGGCTCTGTTTGCTGTTGGAGAGGGGTCTTGTTTTCAGTCCCACCACTTCTGCCACGTCAGGTGCTGAGGGCAGCTGCTGGTATAGCAGCTCTGTGCTGCTGCACGCTGCCCTGTGTGTGCTCTGTCCTGGGTGCAGGTGAAATGTGATGGTGCTATTGTTTTTAGTCAAAATAGCCCCCAAAGCAGGCGGGTCAAGAGGACGTTTGCTTTTCACCAGAGAGACTGGTCGGTAGTGCCCACCCCGATGACCCCAGGTGGGAGTGCTGCTCAGCGTACACCTTGATGGGGAAGGCAGAAAAGTGCTTTGACAAGCTGTAGTGTGCAGTGGGCTTACATCCACCTCCTGTGTTCCCATTTTTGTCCCCTCAGCTGGGGGAACTGGTGTCTGGCTGGGATCCACGCTTACAGGTAGGAAGCCAGCTCTTAGCTACACACTCAGCATTAAGGGTCAAGCTTTGGCCGTGGGGGGGAAAATCTTACTGCAAGTTCTTCTTATATTTTTGTTGGACTGCCTTGGGTAGGTCAAGTAATTCCAGGCTGAGCTCCCGCAACATTTGAGGGACTGATTTCAGGCAGCTGCTGCCATCCCATGTCCCGCTGAGTAGAAAGAGGTCAGGGGAAAAAGAGGAACACAGTAGCTGTGGAAATAAAAATAAAATAAAATGTCGGAGGCATTAGTGCAGAAATGTGGGTGGGAGCAGGAGCTGAAACTCCTCTGCTGAAGGGCTTGCAGGTATTCGATGTGACCTGGCTTGCTCACGGGGTTGCTGAAAGGTTCAGGAGATGTCTGTTTGGGCCACTTTTGTCTGGTCTCTGTTGGGGCTCTCACACTGGTCTCCGTGTCCCCTTTGCCTCTCATGCAGACTTTTGACAAGCAGGGATTCCATGCTGGCACGCCACCTCCTTTCAGCCTGCCCTCTGCTCTGGGATCGACTGGGCCCCTGAACCCTGGTGCTGCCCCGGGTTATGCTCCAGCCCCGTTTCTCCATATCCTGCCTGCTCATCAGCAGCCTCATTCCCAGATGCTGCATCACCATCTTCAGCAAGATGGGCAGGTGAGTCGGCCCCTCCTGCCTCTACAGCGTGCCCGAGGGCATCCCACTGGGGCTCTGGGTGGTTTGTGCTTCCTTCTGGATTCTGCTTTGCTCACTGGGGAGGTGCCTCGACAGTGATGGCAGAGTGATAGACTCGATGCCGTTGACCAAGTTGGGGAGGGAACCTCCTCAAGTTGAGCAAGGGCAAGTGGTGCTGCACCACAAGCAAAAGGTGCTGCACCTGAGGAGGAACAACCTCACATGCCAATACATGCTGGGGGCCAAAGCAGCTTGGCAGAAAAGGCCCTGGGGGGTCCTGGTGAATACCAAGTTGACCATAAGCCTGCATGTGCCCTCACCATGAAAAAGGCCAACGGCATCCTGGGCTGCATTAGGCAAAATATCACCTATTCGAGGTCAGAGGAGGACATCCTTCCCCTCTACTCAGCACTGGTGAGGCCACACTGGGAGTGCTGTTGGGCTCCCCAGTACAAGGGAGACATGGATACACTGGCAAGTCCAACAGAGGGCCACAAGGATGATGATCATCTCTCCTATGAGGAAAGGCTGAGAGAGCTGGGACAGTTCAGCCTGGAGAAGTGGAGGCTCAGGGAGGATCTTACCAATGTATATAAATACCTGAAAGGATGGTGTAAAGGGGGTGGAACCAGTCTCTTCCCAGAGGTGCCCAGTGACAAGACCAGAGGCAGTGGGCACAAACTGAAATACAGAAGGTTCCCTCTGAATATCAGGAAACACTTTTTTACTGGGGTGGTGACCAAGCAAGGACACAGATTGCCTGGGGAGGTTGTGAAGTCTCCATCCTTGGAGCTGTCTGGACACGGTCGTGGGCAACCGACTCTAGGTGACCCTGCTTGGGCAGAGGGGTTGGACAAGATGCCTCGAGAGATCCCTGCCAGCCTCAGTCAGCCCGTGGTGCTGTGAAGAGGCCATCCTGGTGTGGGGTGTTGGAGGGATGGGTTGTGGGGTGTGAAGCTGGGGCAGGTGCTGCTGTCCCCTGGCTGCAACTCATACTGTAGCTCGGGGGGAAAATGAGGCATCCCCTTGCAGGCTGCATGTTGGCTCCCATTGCTGATGTGGTTTCAACCAGCCCAACAGCCCCTACAGCGCCCTTTCCTCACTGTAAGTGTTCCCTGAAAAAACAGAGCGTTCTACATTAGAGTCCAGAAATAGGAGATGACTTCTGTCTCCGAATGTGTGACATTCTTGGCTGGCGCCCTGCCTCCCTTCACCTTGGGAGACCTCCTTTGCTGTCCCCAGTCCTGCTCCTCTCCTTCCCTGTGCTTCAGCCTGGCGTGTTGGGGGGGGGGTCCCATTTTTGTCCCCTCAGCTGGGGGAACTGGTGTCTGGCTGGGATCCACGCTTACAGGTAGGAAGCCAGCTCTTAGCTACACACTCAGCATTAAGGGTCAAGCTTTGGCCGTGGGGGGGAAAATCTTACTGCAAGTTCTTCTTATATTTTTGTTGGACTGCCTTGGGTAGGTCAAGTAATTCCAGGCTGAGCTCCCGCAACATTTGAGGGACTGATTTCAGGCAGCTGCTGCCATCCCATGTCCCGCTGAGTAGAAAGAGGTCAGGGGAAAAAGAGGAACACAGTAGCTGTGGAAATAAAAATAAAATAAAATGTCGGAGGCATTAGTGCAGAAATGTGGGTGGGAGCAGGAGCTGAAACTCCTCTGCTGAAGGGCTTGCAGGTATTCGATGTGACCTGGCTTGCTCACGGGGTTGCTGAAAGGTTCAGGAGATGTCTGTTTGGGCCACTTTTGTCTGGTCTCTGTTGGGGCTCTCACACTGGTCTCCGTGTCCCCTTTGCCTCTCATGCAGACTTTTGACAAGCAGGGATTCCATGCTGGCACGCCACCTCCTTTCAGCCTGCCCTCTGCTCTGGGATCGACTGGGCCCCTGAACCCTGGTGCTGCCCCGGGTTATGCTCCAGCCCCGTTTCTCCATATCCTGCCTGCTCATCAGCAGCCTCATTCCCAGATGCTGCATCACCATCTTCAGCAAGATGGGCAGGTGAGTCGGCCCCTCCTGCCTCTACAGCGTGCCCGAGGGCATCCCACTGGGGCTCTGGGTGGTTTGTGCTTCCTTCTGGATTCTGCTTTGCTCACTGGGGAGGTGCCTCGACAGTGATGGCAGAGTGATAGACTCGATGCCGTTGACCAAGTTGGGGAGGGAACCTCCTCAAGTTGAGCAAGGGCAAGTGGTGCTGCACCACAAGCAAAAGGTGCTGCACCTGAGGAGGAACAACCTCACATGCCAATACATGCTGGGGGCCAAAGCAGCTTGGCAGAAAAGGCCCTGGGGGGTCCTGGTGAATACCAAGTTGACCATAAGCCTGCATGTGCCCTCACCATGAAAAAGGCCAACGGCATCCTGGGCTGCATTAGGCAAAATATCACCTATTCGAGGTCAGAGGAGGACATCCTTCCCCTCTACTCAGCACTGGTGAGGCCACACTGGGAGTGCTGTTGGGCTCCCCAGTACAAGGGAGACATGGATACACTGGCAAGTCCAACAGAGGGCCACAAGGATGATGATCATCTCTCCTATGAGGAAAGGCTGAGAGAGCTGGGACAGTTCAGCCTGGAGAAGTGGAGGCTCAGGGAGGATCTTACCAATGTATATAAATACCTGAAAGGATGGTGTAAAGGGGGTGGAACCAGTCTCTTCCCAGAGGTGCCCAGTGACAAGACCAGAGGCAGTGGGCACAAACTGAAATACAGAAGGTTCCCTCTGAATATCAGGAAACACTTTTTTACTGGGGTGGTGACCAAGCAAGGACACAGATTGCCTGGGGAGGTTGTGAAGTCTCCATCCTTGGAGCTGTCTGGACACGGTCGTGGGCAACCGACTCTAGGTGACCCTGCTTGGGCAGAGGGGTTGGACAAGATGCCTCGAGAGATCCCTGCCAGCCTCAGTCAGCCCGTGGTGCTGTGAAGAGGCCATCCTGGTGTGGGGTGTTGGAGGGATGGGTTGTGGGGTGTGAAGCTGGGGCAGGTGCTGCTGTCCCCTGGCTGCAACTCATACTGTAGCTCGGGGGGAAAATGAGGCATCCCCTTGCAGGCTGCATGTTGGCTCCCATTGCTGATGTGGTTTCAACCAGCCCAACAGCCCCTACAGCGCCCTTTCCTCACTGTAAGTGTTCCCTGAAAAAACAGAGCGTTCTACATTAGAGTCCAGAAATAGGAGATGACTTCTGTCTCCGAATGTGTGACATTCTTGGCTGGCGCCCTGCCTCCCTTCACCTTGGGAGACCTCCTTTGCTGTCCCCAGTCCTGCTCCTCTCCTTCCCTGTGCTTCAGCCTGGCGTGTTGGGGGGGGGGGATGGTGCATCCCTGCGCTGCTCCTTGGTGTCTCTGTGGATTGTGAGATGCCGAGATGCTGCAGAGCAGGAGCAGACCTGTTCAGGGGGGAGCGTCGCTGTGTTGGTGGGTGTCAGGGCTGTCCCCAGGGGGTGGCAGCTCTTCCGGTGACTTTTAGAGCAGGGCTTGTTTTTTCTGCGGGTGCTGATGCCCACGTCTCCTTCCTTTCCAATTTCTAGGGTGGATCTGGTCAACGCAACCAACCCAGCACCATGCAGCAAAAGTCTCAGGCTACCAAAACCGCCTATGGCACTTCTCCATACTGGACAAACTAAATCCGACACCGGGGAGGGGGGAAAGAGTGAAAGGAGACGAGGGGAAAACAAAAAGAAAGAAAGAAAAAAAAAAAACAAACAAACCACAAAAACAAACGAAAGAAAAGAGAAGAGAAAAAGGAAAAAAAAAAAAAAAGAGTCCAGAAATAGGAGATGACTTCTGTCTCCGAATGTGTGACATTCTTGGCTGGCGCCCTGCCTCCCTTCACCTTGGGAGACCTCCTTTGCTGTCCCCAGTTCTGCTGCTCGCCTTCCCTGTGCTTCAGCCTGGCGTGTTGGGGGGGGGGATGGTGCATCCCTGCGCTGCTCCTTGGTGTCTCTGTGGATTGTGAGATGCCGAGATGCTGCAGAGCAGGAGCAGACCTGTTCAGGGGGGAGCGTCGCTGTGTTGGTGGGTGTCAGGGCTGTCCCCAGGGGGTGGCAGCTCTTCTGGTGACTTTCAGAGCAGGGCTCGTTTTTCTGCGGGTGCTGATGCCCACGTCTCCTTCCTTTCCAATTTCTAGGGTGGATCTGGTCAACGCAACCAACCCAGCACCATGCAGCAAAAGTCTCAGGCTACCAAAACCGCCTATGGCACTTCTCCATACTGGACAAACTAAATCCGACACCGGGGAGGGGGGAAAGAGTGAAAGGAGACGAGGGGAAAACAAAAAGAAAGAAAGAAAAAAAAAAAACAAACAAACCACAAAAACAAACGAAAGAAAAGAGAAGAGAAAAAGGAAAAAAAAAAAAAAAGAAAAGAGATGATGAAGCCCATTCCTGGAATTATTAGGAGAAGAAGTAACTGCTCAGCCAAACATCCGTGCGGGGAGAACTACAACCAGCCAGCCATCCTCTGTGTGACTCGCCCGCTTCCTCTTTGAGTTGCTGTTGTATGTAATATATTTATGTATGTATTTGTAAATGTAATAGAGCCTAAATGTGGTTTTCTGCATCTTGCAGCCTGTTTTATTTTCTTTGTAGGAAAACTAATTATTCATTTCCCATCTGCACCAGGGCATCCTTCCTTGTTTTTTTGAGCTCTATGGGCTTTATAACTGTCAAAGACAAACTGCACCATTTACTATTTTTTGAGCTGGAGCCCATCTATTTAATGCAGTTCTAAATTCAGGAAAATAAAGAGGCCTGGCCTACCCCCCCAAAAAAAACAGAATCAGGATGTGTCCTGTTGGTTTGATTTCTGTCCCCGATATAGCTTTTACTTAAAGAGTGGAAAAAAAAAAAAAAAAAGGAAGAAAAATTGTTTTGTGGGCCTACCCCTTTTTCATTTGCCCCCCTCCCTCATGCCATGGAAGACAAACTCTCATGGGCAGTTTGGTCGCTGTGGCCCTGAGTTGCAGTCTCACCTTTTTGTTTTTCAATTTTTGAATAATAAAAAAAAAAAAAAAAAAGCAGACAGGGTTTTCTTTTCTGTTTGTGGGGTTTTTTTTTTTTCTGTTTGTTTCTCTCTAGCAAGAGACTTTGGATGGCTCAGTGTGTCCTGGAACCTCCTTTGCATCATTAGAGGCAAAAACTATGTAGCGGTTTCTTAAATAAAGTATAAGCTGTGTCTTGTACCTCTTTCTGCCCTGAGCCACCCTGCCCAGGAAAGCCAGAGCTACTGGATGGAAACTTCACCTGTCCCTTCCCACTTTTTTAAAAACAAAGACCTCAGAGGCAACTCCTGGTCCTTCTTGTCCTGCACCAGTGCGGTGAATGTTTTAGGAGTTTCATTTCTTTATAGCCCTTTCTCCACCTAATAAAGATCTGAGCATTATCACTGGTGTCTGTCTGCATTTTCGGAGGCTCCAGCAGCAGCTTTGCTGCCATGGCCCGTCCCCTTCCTGTGACAGAAGCCAGCTGGCAGGCACCGAGCAGCAGATGGGTCTGAGGGGACGTGGGCCACCAGGACGAAGGTGAGTGCACCTCCCTGCTGGGAGTCCACGGGCACCTGCAGCGGGGACAAGATCCCAGGAGCACCCTGATGTCCCTGCCTTTGCTGTCCTCTGGCCTCCCGCTCTGTCCCAAGTCCCTCTGGAGCCCCAGGCCCATCCTCCTGAGCCTCCTGCAGCAGAGGTGGGTAAACGTGAAGCCGTACGTGTCGCACAGCAGGCGAGGGGCTTTCTTGCACTTCCCAATTCTCTTTCAGGACTCACAAGAAAAAAAAAATATATTTCAATATATTTCTACCATAAGAACCACTTTTCTTCCTTAGAGTCTTTTCTTCCAGCTTTCAGGTCCTGTGAGACCCACCTGGGGAGGGGTCGGTGTCAACCAGGTCTCCCCCCTACCCTCTGAGGAGCACAAGGTGAACTCCCCTGCCCTTCCTCTGCCTCGGGGATGCCGTCTGGAGGAGAGCCCAAAGTCTTCTGCAGGCTGGGAACTTGGTGTCACCTGAACCGGGGGCTGCCCCAGCACCTCGTTTACCCACAGCCAGAGCTGCTGCCACGTGAGGAGAAGTTTGTTTCTTTGAGAAACAAACTCACCCAAAGCCCAAAGAACCTGAGTTTCTCGTTTGCAGAAATGGGCTGTTGGTCTGTGCTGGTGGCTGGGGGTGTGGGGACAGCTGGAAGGGCAGCCCCTGGGCCCCAGGTTGGCTGCGGGTTCCACCAGGGCTCCAGCAGCAGCCATTTCTTCTCTGGTCCCCACCACCTCCCACGGGCTGATGGTTGAGCTGCAGCTGCTCAGCTCCACTCAGCCCTGCAGGAGAGGGAAAACCAAACCTGCCCAGCAGGGTTTACCCAGCGCAGGGTGGACTGGAGAGAGGTTGTCCTGCCCTTGGTACCACACCTTCTGCTGTGGGCAGCCTGGTGCTGTGGGAGCTGGGCAGGAGAGAGACACAAGCCTGATCCCCCACAGAAGGCCCAGACACCACCATCCCTCGCCTTCCTGGTCCCCGAAGTGGAGACTCCTCTAGGGCTGCAGCTGGAGTCATGGAGCCATAGAATGGTTTGGGTTAGAAGGGATCTTGGAGATCATTGAGTTCCAACCCCCCTGCCATGGGCAGGGACACCTCCCACCAGACCAGGTTGCTCAAAGCTCCATCTGGCCTTGAACACCTCCAGGGATGGGGCATCCACAGCTTCTCTGGGCAACCTGTTCCAGTGTCTCACCACCCTCACAGTGAAAAATTTCTTCACTGTTCCTCCTGCATGGCCATGAAGCAGACGTGCCCTGCCCATGTTGGACTCAGCAGTTGCTGCACTGCAAAGGATGCCAAGTGCAGCGAGTCCAACTCCTCTACACCTGTCCTGCTACTTTTAGCAGCGGGGTGCTGCAAACCCAAACTTCTCCACTCTTGAGCTTGCAGGGACCAGCACAGGCCAGGCAGGGCCAGCAATGATGACTCAGTTCCTCTCCCAACCTTCTGCACCAGGTCAAAACCCCCAACCCAGCCAACACACGCTCACTGCCTTGTCTTGACCATCTGAGGAGCACCCTGCTCCTGTCCTGCCAGGGAACCCACCACTCCCAAGTCCTACCTCCCTGCGATGGTCACATGAGACCAGGAACCATCTTCCCCTTGGTCCCCGTCCCCCTCCCTGGTGACTCAGGGAGACCACACACCATGGTGAAGCCCATGGCCTTTGGCCAAAGCACGTCTCCATGTCAGGTCATTCTCTAGGCTGGGGTTCAGGCAGGCAGCCTCAAACAGCAGCTTCGTTTTCCAACAACAGCCCTAAAGATCTTTATGTCTGTGGACAGGCACTGACTCTGGAACAGCACTGAACTTGTGAAGAACAGGTGTTATCCCAAGCTTTAAATACCCCATGCAAATAAATCCCCGGGTCAACCAACAGGGTAGTAACAGCACAGGAGTGTTTTCATTTCACATTTTTATTAGTAGACAGATGTGCAGAAAAGACAAAATATAACTACTGAAGGGGAAGACAACACAAAAAAAATTGCATCAGTTAATTATTTCTGGTAAATTATACTGAAGGAAAAAAAAAAAAAAGAAGGAAAACATCTGGGATTTCAGCTAAGAAAAGACTACTAAGAAATCTAGTGTACCCTGCTGGTTTCAGAATGGTTGAAAACTGCATTTGGAGGGGCACGTAGTTGCAAATGTAAACGCTAATATTGGCTGAGACGGGAGAAAAGGGTTAAGGAAAAAAAAAAGCAGAATACACAGATCAGGTAAACATTTGTCTGCAATGTCTTAAATATTTTCCAAAAAAAAAAACAACAACCAAACACCTCATACTTCAGTTTGTATCTCAGAGAAAAGGAAACCAGCAAGTCAACAAGCAATGACACTGCACAGGACAGTGGGGAAAAGAAATTAGTCTGGTTAAGGTAGGAGCTCTCAAAATAGGTTGCTTTTTTTTTTTTTTTTTTTTGTTTGCTTTTTTCCTCTTTAAAAAAGGGTTAACAGAAGGGTCATGATAATGCATCTTACAACACCAAGCTTGAAAAATACAAGTCACTGGAGAGTATACAGTGAAGACGGTCAAAAGTACAAGGGAAATCCTGAAAGATGCAGTATGCTCTTTTCAAACCGCCTCCCCGGCACAGCCAGCGTTGCCACACTCTGCTCCCCGGCTCCCCAACAGCCCTCCCTCCCCACAAAGATGGAGCTCCGTGTCCCTGCCCCGCTGTGGCCCCCCAAGACCAGTCCAGGAGCCCCACAGACCCTCCTCACCGACACCAGCGCTGCCCTCACAGGGCCCGAGTGGAGCTGGGGGGTGCCCCACACCATCGCAGGATGCAGGGGATCCCCCTCCCCCGCCAGCTCCAAAAATCACCAGGGGCTTTGCTGGAAGGATGAGTTGAAGGAGACCATGTGGACAACTTTTTTTTTTGGGGTGGGAGAGGGGCAAGGGGGTCCATCTGCCCCCAGGCAACATGCAAGCAGGAGGGCAGAAGGTCACAGGGAGCACAGGGAAGGGGGACACAGGAGGGATCACCACTTGGGCTGCCCTGACACCACCAGGGGCAGAGGGACCCACCAGCCACCCATCCTTGGGGTGGAGGAGCAGGGTCTGGTCCCTGCTGCACCAAATCCCCACCAGGCAGCACCTGGAAACCCCATCATCTGCCTCCCCTCCCTTCACACAGAGTCCATCCAGCCTTCCTCCCCTCCCCGAGGGCTGCCTCCCCCTCCTCTCCCTCCAGGCAGAAGGGAGTTCACTCCCACCACAGCACCCCTGGGAGGGGACCACAGCTGGTGACGTACCATTGAAAACCCTGAGATACACAAGTTTGGGGGGGTTTTGTGGGGGGGGGCACAATGAAATGCCCCCACAGCTCTGATCAGGGTAACTGCTCCTGGGGTTGCCAGGGCCAGTGCAGGAGGCCAGGGCTGGCCACCCATCATGCAGAAGGAGAACTCAGGCCACAAGCACCACAGCCCAGAACAAGAGCACACTGTAACAGGGGGAGGGGGACCAAGGAGGAGGGTTCTGCAGGGATGAGCATGCGGGGTGTCCCATCCCCCCCTCCCCAAAACCCCTTGCCCAGGAGGGAGAGCCCTAATCTCTGCCAAGGGCTCCCAAAAAAACATGCAGGAGGCCACGCTCAGTGCCCCAGCTGAAGCTTGCTGCCAAACAGCCTGTCAGACCCTGCCCCTGGACACCCCCCTTCCAGCCTGAAAGTGCTGCTCACCCCACTCCTGTGGGGCCACACACCCTCACCAGCACCCCCAGCCTGGGAGACATCCCTCCCCATCAGCCACCCCGGGCAGGAAAAGGGACCTTGGGCCTCTGCTGGCCCCACAGAGCTGCCTTTGCCAACACAGGACCCACACCAGCAACAGCAAGAAGGCAAGGAGGGGGGTGTTGGGGGCTGCGGGGGCTGCTGACACCCACTGGGGCAGGAGGGCACCCGTCTCCCCCTGCCAAAAATGAATTCAGGATGGGCCTTGGACCAATGGGCAGGGGGAGGTGCTTCTGTTCTCCCCCTTCCCCCCAACACAGCGAGGGGGAGGTGGCAGCAGACGGCAGCAGCGCAGATAAACTGAGCTCTCCCCCTACCCCAACCTAGTCTGGGGGAAAAAAAACCAACCCAAAAAAAATTAAAAATAAAAAAATTAAAAAATAAATAGCAACCCAGGGCTCAGTTGCACAGACATGAAGTGTTAAGTGTTTATTTTAGGGTTCATATCACAAGCCTTTTTCCGTGACAAAGCTGATTGTGCCCGCTGGGGGCTCCAGGGGCCAGCTGTTTCCCAGCTTGAGCAGGCCGAAAAGGAATACTGTACCTTTCAGTGACATCCCACCAAGCTCAACACACAGTAGCTTTACACTCTCCGCCCCACACCTTATAAAGGAAAAGCCACCACCACAAGGCTAAACGAATGTACACACGCTATTATTGTAAATGGAGCAGCTAAACCTTGGCAATTTGCTTTGTGTGGATTTTTTTTTTTTGTTTTTCTTCCCAGTGAATGCAGCACTTGAGCTCCCGAAAACCCAGCTTCCAATGGGTTTATTCCAGCTTTAAATACATTAAACATCTCAATGCAAGACTGTATTTAATTCAAGAACCTAAACATGAGCAAACCTCTTTTCGCTGTGAGCGCTTTGTAAAGAAGTGAAAAGGGGAGTTTTTTTTTTAAAAAAAAAAAAAAAAATCATAATACAGTGATGAAAGGGTTAAGAATGCAAGAATTCAGACATTCTGTGGAGGGTCTCTAAGAGGTCCATAAAAAAGGAGCAAACAGATCCATACAACAGGAGACAGCAGGAGACAAAGTTTGTTTTTTCTTTTTTTTTTTTTTGTTTGTTTGTGTGTTTGTTTTTTTGATCCCCCCCCCCAACTTTTTTGCTCGACTGCTGCTAGATTACCGCTGCTCCCTTCTGGCCTGAGTCGGCAGGGCAGTACAGGGGCATGGAGGGGAGCAGGTCACGACTCCTCGTTGCCAGAATCGTCGTCGTCGTAACAGTCGGCATCCTCCTCCTCCTCGTCTTCGTCGTCAATGTCGTCGTCGTACAAGTCGTCGTAAAGCAAATCCGAACTGTTGTCATTGGAAGGCACTTTAGTTTTGATGCAGTACTCTGCCAGCGTAGTGGGGACCTTCACGCCATCCTTCTCTGCCTCGGCTTTGGTGGCCAAAACCTGCTTCCTGCAGGGAGAAGGACACAGCAACGTGAGCAAAAAGAGCTCAAACCCACCACCTCCCAGCAGCTCCAGGTCAGGAGAGATGATGTTTGGTGGAAGCAGCTCGAGAAACAGACCCAGCTCCTGCAGCCCCAGGCTTGGGAAGCACCTGCAGAACACCCGCTCTCAGCAAGGTGTGAAACCAGTCCCTCTACAGGACGGGGCTCCCTGAGGGACCTCCGAGGGAATCCCACCTCCTTTGCCACAGAAGGGATGGTGGGGGATATCCCAAGACACTGCCACAAACCCAGGCTGGCAGCAGTTCCCTGTCACCCCAGGGATGGCACTCGGGCTGTGGTGGCACCATGGCTGCCTCCCTCCCAAGGAGCACTCATCACCCCATCTCATCACCCAGCCACACTCTGTATATGGAGCACGTCCAGCTCTGCTGGAGCCCGTGGAGCTGAAGGGAACAAAGATGCCCTCCCAGCCAGGGGCACATCCTGCACCCCCACTCAGCAGAGTCCATGGGGACATGGGTATTGTCCCAGCCTGCCCATCTGTGCCTCAACAGCCCCACAGGCTCAGCTTCACACCCGCTCCCCACAGCAGCTGGGGAACCCACAAACTCTTCAAAGGACAGTCAGGATTGAGCCCTGCTTCCAGCTTGCCCAATTCCTGCTGATATTCCCTCAAACCAGAGGGACAAGATTATGATTCACAAGTGTGTTAAGCACAGAATGAGTCAGGTGCAGCCAGGTTGGATCCCATCCCATCCCATCCCATCCCGAGCAGCGCCCCAAGGCACACAGGGACTTCCACTGGGATTGGCCAGCAGCCAGTAGGATTTTGCAGAGCATCAGTGCCAGATCAGGCTGAATAAAGAACAATTTAAAGGCAAATCAGCCCAGTCCTCCCGCTGCAGGAGCCTGCCCTGCCTCTGTGCGCTGGAAATCCCAAGAGGGAAGGGAAGCGTGGACTTGGGAATAAGATGGTAAATTTCATTTCCAAAGCAGCAGCCGCAGGGAGGAGCGGGGGTTTCAGCCAATTCTGTTTTGCAGGATTCAAAGCAGGAGGCTGACAGCGTGGCAAAGCTCACCTTATGATTTCAGCGTACTCCTTGTCTTTTCCTTTACTGTCCCTCCATTTCCTGAACATGACCGACGCATCCACGTTGGCAGGAGAGAACGTGTTGGGCTCGTTAAGCAAAGAGATTACGCTCAGTAGGATAGTCCTGGAAAAGGGAACCACAACAGCAGGGTCAGAGCCGGCGCGTCCCCGCATTCTGGATGCCAACAGCTTCTTTAGAACAAGTTCCTGATGCCTCACCTAAGTCAAAAAACTTAAGCCAAGGATAATATCTGAAGAGATTCGAAGAGCAGGTATTTATGAACCTCAGACCCTGGCCACCAGCGTAGGGAAGGTGACACAATACAAACCTCAAGGATCTCATCTGACTACAGACCACCTTGTCCGTGCACGTGCTTGTGACGGGACAGCAGGCAAAGCCAGGATCAGCCCAGAACTCAGCCTGTCCACGCCACCTGTGGATGGTGCAGGGCTGGAGACCTGCTTGGTGAGCCTGTTCCCGGTGACATCCAGCCTCCCAGCAGAAAGCCAGGCTCTTCGCCCTTCCCTGCGCAGGGAGAGGGACCACCACCCAAGGCCACCAGAGAAAGCTGCCCTGCTTTCCCTGCCCCACAGGGCAGATGTTTTCCAATCCCCAGGGCAAGCTGCCAAGGGCCCAGCAGCATTTGGCTGCTGGTGCTCAGCAAAGCCAGTGGCAGCCAGACCCGCAAACAGACAGACAGACAGACAGCCTGGGCTTAGCAGCACTACAAAGCTTGCTGCCCCACTCTGCTGGCATTTCCCAGGGGCAAACACCACCTTCTCCTGCATTTCCTACAACCCTCTGCACTTCAGAGCTCTGCACACCCATCCACCCGCCTGTAGCTACCACCACAACAGCTTCACGCGTCCCAGGTGGTCCCACTGGCAACAGCTTTCCATTTAAATGAAAAGGAAGAATGAAAGACAAGGAGTAGGTCCTGGAATACAACAGGACATAGCGACTGCTTTGCAAAACCTGTCCAAAGGAGACTACAGCCCCTGCTGCTCTTGCGTTGCATTCAGAGCAGCCTGTGCCGAGCACATCCACCAGATCATGTATCTGGGACACGGTTCCAGGGAATGCTTGGCCATTTGCATGCAGAGTTTCCTGAAATGTTTTGAAACCAAACACTTGTGTCTGGCCAGGCTGTTCAGCACAGCTATCAGGAGAGTCTTATACAATTTATTTTCCAAGTTATATAAATCAGTAGGAAAAGAGAACAGCAGCTCTGGCAAAAGAACCTGTCTGATCAGACTGGAATGATGGGCAGAAGAGAGACCGTCTCCTACTTGATCTCAAGAATTCATTTAAAAGCCTTTGATTCCCAGCAAAGAGGCTGTAAATCCAGCGTGTCAGCTCCAGCATCGCTGCAGCCGCTCGACTGCGGAGCAAGCAAAGCCTGGGGAAGGCCAAGGACAGGAATTCATGTCTGGATTTGGCATCTGCTCCACCACACCTCCATCAACACAACCAGGAGAAGCTGATTTCCACTGCGGTGCTCCAAGGCTCCAAAAGTCACTGCAAAGCTACTTACATACACCAAGGCAACTGTCTATTAGAGGTGAAGCTCCCTGCACTGTTCATTCCTGGGCCAGCTCCACCACTGCTGATACCTTGGGAGCGTTCCTGGGCCAGCTCGTTAGACCAGCTCCACCACTGCTGATACCTTGGGAGCTGGACAGTCTGCTCTGACCCAAACCCTGGTGCTGTGGTTGAACAAGGCACAGGAACAGGAAAGGATCCCAGCACATGGGATCTGACAGGACTAAAAGCACAAAAGTTCAACCACACGGGACTGAAAACATCCTCAGCATCTGATAGGAACTGCAGTGGACTGGATACAATATAAATATATATGTATATACATATATTTATACACACACATGCTCTGCAATACTGCCAGGGATCTGTTTATCTGTGTTGCCTTCAGAGTCCCTCTACATCACTTAATCAGCAGGTGAGAGCAGCCAGCAGAGGCTCAAGGAAACAGACCTGTGAAGTGCTTTTTTCACTTGTGTATCAACAGAAGGCTCACACACAGGTGAATTTCATCCAAGACAGACATTACATAGAACAGCTGGTGCTCCCAACCAGCACATCCTGTTATTTACCTTGTTGAAAAGTGGCATTTTTTTTTTTCTTCCCCAGCTGCTACCCACACTGTAGCCTCTCGGAGCCACCTTTACAGGTAGCTACGTATTAGTCCTAGCATTATGAAGTAATCCATTATGAAGTAAAAAATGTCTGGCTTGGGCTGTACTGACAGTTATGTGAGTGCATTGAGATGGTCACAGAAACTGTCCAAATCTTAGGCAGCCAAAAAAGCCAACAAATGTGGGCATATTCAGGAAACAAAGCAACAGTGACATGAGGCATCACCCCTCTTCACAAGATGAAGATTTACCCACACCTTGAATATTGTGCTCAGTTCTGGCCTGTCTGCTGCCAAGGAGAGAGGGTGGAGGCAACGGAGATACGGAGAAGGGCAACTAAAATGACCAAGGAGCCTCAGCTCTAAGCCCTGCCACCACTTCCCCAGCTTTATGGGACTGGGGAGCCGAGAAGAAAGGCAGTGTTCCCTGGCACACAGGTCACAGCCGCATTCCTTCACATCTTGCTGGATATTTGCTGTTATTTACTTATGCCTGCCTCACCTCTCCCTGAGCAATGGGAAAGTCCACACTGACTGTGTTTAAGAAGATTAATGAGCAGGCTTGACACACTGGAGGCAGAAGCACAGGTGCTCTCCAAGCTGAAGGATGACATTCCCCCCTTCAGACACTTCAGCTGCGGGTGGCTGTAGTAAATGGTCAATACTCAGCAGGATTTACAGAATTCTGCAGCTGAGGAGAAGCCCCAGGTCACACACACAGCTCATGACAAGCATGTTCTCCCCCCTCCCCAGCACCTCCAGCCCTGCTGCCTCCTGTCTGACACTCTGGAGCCTCGAAAAGCCAGATGGGACCCCAGCAGGACACGTTTCTGTCGGCTCTCAGCCCGACGGGTGATGCTGGTAGAGGGACAGCAGTTAAGGACAGGTTTTACTTCCATTTGCTGATACAGCTGACAATGTTTTCTCCCTAAATGTCACCCCTAAGCCCAACACTTTCCAAGAAAGTAAGCATCAAAAACTGTAAGGGAAAACAGAAATCAGAGAGATAGCACCATCAGAAGTTTCATGTCGATCTTTAGGTTTGTATATAATGAAATACTCAAAAAGTGTGTGCAATGTAAGTAATTAATAGCTAAAGCTGTTTCCTAACTATAAGCTTGTCACCTAGTCAGTTCTTTATTGGCAGTGTTCTGTCATGAGAATGAAATTCAGCTGGTGTTTCACAAAAAATGGATGGGTTAGCCTTGAATGCCTCTGGTACTTCATTTTTGATCCTGGAGTTTTTTTGGCAGGAAGGAAACTTCCTGGCTAGCTGCTCAACATACCACACTGCAGGACAGGAGACACAGACATATAACAGAAGGCAAACAGTAGACAGGATTACGCACAAAAGTTACTCCTACTGAGACTGAATACTCAAAAATGTTCTTTTCCACTACTGGTATCCTGGAGGAGCGAGAAAAACTTAAGTGCAGCCATAACATGCTCCGAGAAAGGCTAGAACATTTGAGATAATTTGGGATAATTTGCCTTAGGAGCATGGAACCATGAGAACAGGACAGAAGGTTGCACAGACAGCTTGATAAGTCTGGTTCCCACTGGATTTAAGCCCCCAAAGCCCTAGGGTCTTAAACTCCCTTCCAGGCCTCTCTCAACACAGGCCTTTGAGGTCACCACTGTACATCAAATTCACAGTTACCTGACATTTTGGGTAGGGTTCCACCTCTCCGATGGCAGCTCTCCACTTTGCGGGTCATCTACGGGTGGGTGAAGAATTGAAATACATACATCTCCATTCTGCAAGACAGAAACAGAAGCTGAGAACAGCCTGGCTTGAGGCAAAGGTCTGGTGACTCAACCCTAACACTCTACATTCTGAGCAGTTTAACCTTGTTGATACGAACACCCCGAGTGCCAGTAAAAATATGGAAGAAATGGAAATGGTTCCCAGTTCTTCCTGGGTCTACTCTATTTATACACTCAAAAGTTTCCCTTGTTAAACAGGGTTAGCCTGCAAACTTGTACCAAAAAAAAAAAATAATCTCAAAGAGGTTTAAAGAACGTAGCAAAGCAAGCAAAAATAGTAATAAAGTCACATAAAACTAAATTGGTCTCCAGACAGCAAATACTGTCACAGCGACAGACACGAGCTTCAGTCACAGGAGACCTAAAGTAGGGTTAAAATTAATTTTTAACTCCCAGTGGTAGCTGAGCTTGCTACAGGAATTTCTGAATTGAAGGGTTTAGCACTCTCCACTAGCTCAGGTGTCAAAACACCACCTCTCCTGGGACACAGGGGGTTGGACAGATGGTGCGGGGCCGGCTCACACCGCTCCCCTCGGACACGGCTGTTTGAAACACCAGGTGAAAAAGCAGGAGATGCTCTCTGAAGGTTTCACTGAAAATCCCTTCCAGCACGCAAGAGGAAGCATACTTTGGCAGCACACGGAACCCATGCAGCCACATAATCCTCACCCTGTGTTTTACTCACCAGAGTTATAGCCTGAATATAGATTTAAAGCTCCATAATGCCCACCATTTATAAACTCTTTAAGAAGCGTGTAAAACCGATTCTCCATCAGCAACAGCACTCTGACACAACTATTTTGTAGGAGTGCTGTAGCAGTATTCACCACAGCTGATGTTCTCCAAAGAAGCTGACTCCAGGGACTCGTGGTGTCCCAGTGCCTTACTGCAGGATGGGATGAAGGTGCAGACAGGGCCTGAGGCCAGACAGCAGATGTTGGCTTCTCCAATCCCTGCTGGCTTGCTGCCTCTCACAGCTGGCTGCTGGGATCACAGATGGTTTGGGTTGCAAGGGATCTTAAAGATCATCGAGTTCCAAACCCCTGCCACGGGCAGGGACACATCCCACCAGACCAGGTTGCTCAAATCCCCATCCAGCCTGGCCTTCAACACCTCCAGGGATGGGGCATCCACAGCTTCTCTGGGCAACCTGTTCCAGTGTCTCACCACCCTCACAGTAAAGAATTTCTTCCTGAGATCTAATCTAAATCTCCCCTCTTTACCATTACCCCATGTCCTGTCTCTATACTCCTTGACACAGAATCCCTCCCCATCTCTCCTGTAGGCCCCCTATGTCCTGTCTGTACACTCCTTGACATAGAGTCCCTCCCCATCTCTCCTGTAGGCCCCCTTCAGGTACTGGAAGGCTTCTCTGTAAGGTCTCACCAGAGCTTTCTCTTCTCCAGGCTGAACAACCTGTCTCCTAGAGAGGTGTTTCACCCTCTGGTCATCTTCGTGGCCCTCTGCTCGACCTGCTCCAGCAGGTCCATGTCCCTCCTGTGCTGAGGGCTCCAGAGCTGGACACAGTTAAGTTCAGGCAGGGTCTCACCAGAGCAGAGGGGCAGAATGACCTCCCTCGATGACTTACAAGTTCCCAGAGGCAGCCCCACACCTGCTGGTGGCATGGCCTCAGCTGACGGGCAGCGCTCACGGCGTCCCTTGTCACCCTGACACGAGGCACAGGCTGGTGTCAGAACAAGGCTGAAGCTGTGGATCAACTCCGTTCAAGATCACAGGCTGGCAGGTCCCCACACACCTGGTCTCACCTATATCCTGAGGACCTTCCAACGCTGCTCAATGCCCAGGAGCCAGAGCAGAAAGCCCTGCTGTTCACAGTGACAGCATCCATGCCTTTGAGCCCGAGGCAGCCATCACAGCTACAGACAGCAGCAGCCCACCTGAAGGGCGTCTCAAACATTTCAATTCACCTTGGTTAACAAAGACTTTTGTTTTAAGGCCAAAGGAGATCTTACTTCCATGCTGGAGGCTTGTGATGGGCATCCAGATTTCAGTGGCTCGCTAACCCTGCCAGGTGTGCTGATCTAGCAAGCCCTCATCATTTTGAAGCAGTTTTTTTTGTGTGTCAAGAACAACTACGCACAGCGATGTAGCACCTGGAGCTGCTGAATACCCAAGTATGCACTTACGTTGCTGGAGCACTTTGCCACAACAAGGCAGTTTCCTTTTTGGGACTCAAACAGGCTTGTGCAATGTAAAAATATTTTTAAGGTCATTTTAAGTTGAAGTTAACCTTACTAATGCTAGGTTAGGTTCACAGCCTGTTCTGGTTTTATTAATAATTTCTGCGAGTTTAGCCAGTTTTTCCTTTCAGCACCTCCTGGGAGAACGCAGAGCTGGTGGCCAGGAGAAAGCGTGACAGCACTGGGGTGTGTCGGGGGGGGAAGTTCCTCAAGCGATCCGGTCAGCACCACATGGAGAAGATATTTGGCAACATGAAAATAGAGAGGGAAGCAATGATGTGAGAAAAAAAAAAAGATCTCCCCTCTTTCAGTTTAAAACCACTACCCCATGTCCTGTCTGTACACTCCTTGACATAGAGTCCCTCCCCATCTCTCCTGTAGGCCCCCTTCAGGTACTGGAAGGCTTCTCTGTACGGTCTCACCAGAGCTTTCTCTTCTCCAGGCTGAACAACCTGTCTCCTAGAGAGGTGTTTCACCCTCTGGTCATCTTCGTGGCCCTCTGCTCGACCTGCTCCAGCAGGTCCATGTCCCTCCTGTGCTGAGGGCTCCAGAGCTGGACACAGTTAAGTTCAGGCAGGGTCTCACCAGAGCAGAGGGGCAGAATGACCTCCCTCGATGACTTACAAGTTCCCAGAGGCAGCCCCACACCTGCTGGTGGCATGGCCTCAGCTGACGGGCAGCGCTCACGGCGTCCCTTGTCACCCTGACACGAGGCACAGGCTGGTGTCAGAACAAGGCTGAAGCTGTGGATCAACTCCGTTCAAGATCACAGGCTGGCAGGTCCCCACACACCTGGTCTCACCTATATCCTGAGGACCTTCCAACGCTGCTCAATGCCCAGGAGCCAGAGCAGAAAGCCCTGCTGTTCACAGTGACAGCATCCATGCCTTTGAGCCCGAGGCAGCCATCACAGCTACAGACAGCAGCAGCCCACCTGAAGGGCGTCTCAAACATTTCAATTCACCTTGGTTAACAAAGACTTTTGTTTTAAGGCCAAAGGAGATCTTACTTCCATGCTGGAGGCTTGTGATGGGCATCCAGATTTCAGTGGCTCGCTAACCCTGCCAGGTGTGCTGATCTAGCAAGCCCTCATCATTTTGAAGCAGTTTTTTTTGTGTGTCAAGAACAACTACGCACAGCGATGTAGCACCTGGAGCTGCTGAATACCCAAGTATGCACTTACGTTGCTGGAGCACTTTGCCACAACAAGGCAGTTTCCTTTTTGGGACTCAAACAGGCTTGTGCAATGTAAAAATATTTTTAAGGTCATTTTAAGTTGAAGTTAACCTTACTAATGCTAGGTTAGGTTCACAGCCTGTTCTGGTTTTATTAATAATTTCTGCGAGTTTAGCCAGTTTTTCCTTTCACCACCTCCTGGGAGAACGCAGAGCTGGTGGCCAGGAGAAAGCGTGACAGCACTGGGGTGTGTCGGGGGGGGAAGTTCCTCAAGCGATCCGGTCAGCACCACATGGAGAAGATATTTGGCAACATGAAAATAGAGAGGGAAGCAATGATGTGAGAAAAAAAAAAAGTTTCCCTCTTGCAACAATCAATCTTGCATGTTTGGGAATTCAGGCAGGGCAGCACTGCTTTGGGAGAGCCTGGAAGGGTAAAGGTCTCACGAGGCCTGATGAGATGGGCACAAGGTTTTAGGGATCAGCGTAGCCAAGGGGAAAACCTTCCCCTACACACATTTTTGGAAGATACAAACAAGAAAGCCAGGGTATCCATCCGCCAGTGGGGAATAACCTATACTTCTATTAGGGCTGTGGACTGTTATGTCATAAAAATAAAGAAAAAGTGGACGCAGCTTTACCAAAATTCAACTAGGTGACCCAAGTAAACAAGATAGGGAAAACACCCAAATTACTCAAGTCTCATTGCTCAGAACTGGAACATCAACCCCAACCTCTCCACCTGATCCCACCAGCAGATTCTGTAAACTGCTACCTTCTTTCATCTTCCTCGCACTAAAAGATTGTTGGTATTTTTTTCCTCGTCCTGAAAAGCCCTCAAACCTCAAGCCCTTTGCTGATTTATTCTCAGTTTCATTTGGAGTTATCCCAGTGCCTTATCTTCAGTGCTTAAATGTTGTTTCCAAAACAGCCTGCAAGCTGCTTCAGATTCCCTCAGCTCCAAGAGATACTGCTACGAACACAAAGTACAAAGCTGAAAGCTGGAGTATTTGAAGAGTAACCCCAAAATACACCCATGGAGTTTTGGGTTAGTTTCTCCTCCTACCCTTCAGTTGTTTCTAGAGCCAATTTTTCATCTTTCCCACCAGGGCTGGGAGAGGTCCTTTCCAAGACTCACTTTGTACGTACCATTTTGGTAACCATTTCTCACTCACCTCCTGCATGAGAATTTCTGGATTCAGAACAACATCCACAGTATGGATCTGCAATAGTCTGCAGGTCTCAAAGTTGTCTATATTTATGGATCAAACTTCCATGTAACTGAAATAGAGCCTTAAAGAGAAACACCATCTGGGGCTACATGCAAGATACTGTGCAAAGTCCAAAACTCAAGCCAGAAGACTGTCAGGTGAGTGATTTCAGGATGTCCTTGTGCTTAGGAAAATCCCCCTGAACATCCAGTAATTAAAGCTGATTACTATCCTGCTTCGCACTAAAGCTTAGAGGGGCTTTTGGCCATTTACTACTAAGCCATCAGTGCTAACATCTGAAGCACACTCATTCCAGGCTGGACATCTAGGAGCAACAACTTCCAGCCCTCAGGGCTGCTCTTCAACCATTCTCCACCCAGCCTGTATTTCTGCTTAGGACTCCCCAGACCCAGGTGCAGGACCTTGCACTTGGCCTTGGTGAACTTCATCAGGTTCACACGGGCCCACTTCTCAAGCCTGTTCAGATGCCTCTAAATGGCATCCCTTCCCTCCAGCGTGTCGACCGTTCCACACAGCGATGCCATCTGCAAACTTGCTGAGGGTGCACTCAATCCCACTGTCCACATCTCCAACAAAGATCTTAAACAGCACCCGTCCCAATATTGACCCCTGAGGAACACCACTCGTCTCCGGTCGCCTCTTAGACATCAAGCCATTGACCGCAACCATCCAGCCAATTCCTTATCCACTAAGTGGCCCATCCATCAAATCCACGTCTCTCCAATTTAGAGACAAGGACGTCCTGTGGGACAGTGTCAAATGCCTTGCAGAAGTCCAGGTAGACAATGTCGGTTGCTCTTCCCTTATCCACCAACACTGTAACCCCACTGCAGAAGGCCACCAAATTTGTCAGGCCTGATTTACCCTCAGTGAAGCCATCTTGGCTGTCACTGATCACCTCCTTATTTGTCATATGCCTTAGCATGAGTTTCCAGGAGGACCTGCTCCATGATCTTGCTGGGCACAGAGGTGAGACTGCCTGACCTGTAGTTCCCCAGGTCTTCCCTTTCTCCTTTTTAATGGGGATATGTTTCCGCTTTTCCAGTCAGCAGGAACTTCACTGGATTGCCACAACTTCTCTGATATGATGGAGAGAGGCAACTTCATACACCAGTTCCCTCAGAAACCATGGATGTATCTAATCAGGTTCCATGGATTTGTGCACGTTCAGGTTTCTCAGATGGTCTCGAAGCTGATCTTCTCCTACAGTGGGTGATTCTTCATTCTCCCAGTCCCTGCCTTTGCCTTCTGTGGCATGGGCAGTGTGGCCAGAGCACTTGCCAGTGAAGACTAGGGCAAAAAAGTTGTTGAGTACCTCAACCTTCTCCATATCCCAGATCATCAGGTCTCCAGTTACCTCTCAGAGAGGGCCCATATTTTCTGTAGTCTTTCTTTTATCACTTATGTACCCATAGAAGCTTTTCTTGTTTCTCTTGACATCCCTGGCCAGGTTTAATTCTGTCAGGGCTTTAGCTTTACTAACCTGATCCCTGGCTGCTCAGACAATTTCTCTGTATTCCTCCCAGGCTACCTGTCCTTGCTTCCACCCTTTAGGCTTCCTTTTTCTTTTTGAGTTTGTCCAGAAACTCCTTGTTCATCCATGCAGACCTCCTGGTGTTTTCCCCTGAATTCCTCTTTGTTGGGATGCATCTCTCCTGAGCTTCGAGGAGTTGATCCTTGAGTATTAACTAGCTTTCTTGGGCCCTTTTTACCTCCAGGGGTTTATCCCATGGTGATCTGCCAAGCAGGTCCCAGCAGAGGCCAAAGTCCACTGTCCTGAAGTCCAGGGTAGTGAGCTTGTTGTGCATCCACCCTGCTGCCCTAAGGGTCTTGAACGCCACCATTTTATGGTCAATGAGGCCAAGGCTGACCTTGAGCTTCACATTCCCCACCAGCCCCTCCTTGTTGGTGAGAACAAGGTCCAGCATAGCACCTCTCCTCATTGGCTCCTCTAGCATTTGCAGAAGTAGTATATCACCGTGTATTCCAGGAACTTCAGAATGGTTGAAGTGCTTCGTGAGGGCCATGGCTTGTCAAATGAGGCTTCTGAAAGTGAGGCTGCTTCTCAGAGTCCAGACGTATCTGTTCAGTCCATCCCCAGGGTGACTGAGCTGTGTATGACTCCTCCTGAAGCTGGACTCCAGCCTACCTCTGGGTCTTTCTGCAGTTGGAGCACCTCAAGTCTAAACCCCCTTTATTTGCAGGCTGACTGCTGCCGAAGACTGTCTTCCATTACTTCTTGTGTGTCAGCACACAATTTTGTAGGATATACTCAAATAAAAGCATACTTCAACTGTGTACAAACAACAACTAGTTGCTTAAGTATCAAAATAGGGTAAGACACTCCCCCACCCCCATTCCCTCCCAGCCTTGATCTAAGAATCCTCTAAAATGGGCAAGGCTCATGGCACAGCTCTCCAGCTGAGGCTGCCTGCTGCGCTTGTGGGTATGAGGACTGCTCTGTCCATTCCTCCAAGAACAGCATTTCCTATAGCATTTAGATTTAACTGTTCTAGCATAAAGCTGACATTTAGCACAAACAGCCAACAGCTTCAGTCACAGCTAAGACATTTAGTACCTGCAATACTTCCAGAAGTTTAAGGAAGCAGAAAGCCTTCTCGCAAGCCTGAGAAAAGTTTAAAAAAGACAAACGCCTTACCTCATAAATGTTGGGGTGCCACATTTTGGTCAGGAATCTGAAGGTAGGTGGTGAATATGGATAGTCAATAGGAAATTTAATGTGAGCCTGGAAAAAAGCAAAATACTTTAGTTACAAAACAGAACAACAACAAGAGATCAACAAGCAACCATTACAGTGAAAGACCAGAAAAACCCAATTTCATTTAAGGCCATTAAAGAGACCATGTTATATACCAGTGCCCATGTGGCTCCACAGCACAGCTCTACACAATTTCCTATGAGTAAAATGCTAACTGAACAAGAAAAATTGAAACACCAGAACAGACCTGGGCCGGTAATGCTCAGAAAGCAAGCCAAAGGCATCCTCCACATACTAATTCAAGAAGCACAATCCCAAAACTGTTCTTAAACACAGTAAAATAGATTTGAGAAGCCGGAACTCAAGACACTACTCTGTCTTTCTGGGTTCACAAGCAGGCTAGAAGTGTTCTAAGTGAATAGACCTGTTTTACATTTGCCATTGCAAATATGTTATGTAGTAACTGCACTTTCTGTGCAGAAAAAAAAATTAGATACTTGCTGTACTGAGATGCAAAGTTTTTTGCCTCTCACATGTGAGAGTAAAGGTGGTCCATCTACCTGTGCTCCTAACACTACATTTCTTGCTACCACAAGCATTCCCCAAGCCTGAATACCAACTGTGTTCGTTTAATAGATCAGTGCAACTTGATGAACCAAATACTGATGGGCAATGACAGCAAGCGTTCCCTTCCAGTGCCTCTGTGGTCAGCAGCCAGCTGTGGGGCAAGGCTCCCAGAGCTGAGCCAGCTGTGGGAAGACTACAGAGATCCCAGCACCGGGTATTAACTTCTCTGTGCTGTTCTGCCACTTACAGCAGTCAGAAAAGCCAGCCAGTAGGAAAGGGCTGAATCTGGACTGACAAAGTGCCAAAACCACTCCCCTCTGAAAGGGGGTGTCACGCATTGCTTGCTGCACTGTGGAGCACAAACCCTTCCCTTGGCACAGCTCAACCCACCAACAGATTCCCACCACCAGTCTTGCGTGGGGTATCCACAGAAGCATCCACGTGCCACCCCACACCAGGAGCGAAGCAGAGATTTACCCGGGGGGAGAGCAGACTCCTCCAGACCACTGGGGTTTTCCCAAGAAAGCCCATTCCTGTGCTTACGTGCAGTTTCGTTGAGATCCAAGACATAAAACAGCCCTAGGACTGAGATTAAAAATGCAAGAGACAACAAAACTCAAGGAGATTAAAAATGCAAGAGACAACAAAACTCAGGGTTGAGCTAGCTACAGGACTCCTTGGCAGAACCTGTATGCCTTCTACATAGGAATGATTCCTAAGCAGCCAAAAAAGGCAAAAAAAAAAGCCAGTAGTGTACCAGCATTACCGTGTACATATCCCGTGGGATATAAAGGAGCTGAGGAAGCAGGTCCAATTCCTCTCAGCAAAAAAACATCTGCTCTCAAGTTGTCTAAACCTAAAGATTTTGAATCAAGAAGACCACTGCAAGCTATGGTCTCTGTATGTGATGTGGAGCAGCAGCTGCAGATCCTGGAAGACTGTTTCAAAACTTCTAAGTCCTGTTTTGCATCCACAACTCTTTTAAGAGAGAAGGGCTATGTGCCTGCCTGCAGTATCAGTCATTGCCACATGAAGGATGCTTCTTGAACTCTGGCACTAGAAAACACAACTGGATAGAAATTAAGAGAAAACTTTTTCATCCCATGTGGAAGCAGCTAAGATCCCAGCTTGCCTGTAACCAGTTGCATGTTTAGAGAAATCAGAGTCACATTACTTGTTGATAAGCCAATTTTGACTACCCTGTAGGTATTTATCACATTGAGATGCTGTACTGAAGCATAAAGCAAGTGAAGCCTCTCTACAAACTTAATTTTGGAGCCAAAAGCCACCAAACTAGGAAACCCCGCATTACAGGCAGGGGCTTTTTTCCAAACAAAAACCAAAAAACATCACTTTCAACTTTCTATGTTGAGATCATTCAGATTTTGGAAAGTGAAACTAAATGCTCTTCCAGGGCATTACAAACGGGACCCAGAGAATTACATCATATCTCTTCTGTAAGAAAAATCATGGGAAATTATGTAAACCCACTCTGCTCTCACTGAATGCTATTTGAGTTTCTGAGTGGGTTGAGCAAGCCCAGAACTTCCAAGACAAGCTGCAAGACTGCCTGCAAAGATGCAGCAACAGCTGTGATTACAGGTCAGGTTGTTTTTTTTTTCCCCCACTAAAAGCTCAATTCTAAACATGTTAAAGAGACAAAAATATCAAATTAGGCAATAAACTTTATTTTTAAATAAGGTTTTTAAATAAGCTTTTCAATAAGCTCATCTGTCTGAGCTTACTTCTCAGTTAGTTCAGCCAGGCTGCTAGGTACTAGAGAGTGGCAGAGTTTCAGGGCAGCTTGTTGTTAGCTTAGTTACAGCCAGACAAACTAATTTAGGAGGACTAAAGATGCAACTTAGTCCTCCACCTACAAGTACCCAATCGCTTCTGCATTCACCATGAGCTTAAACTGAACAGAAATAATCCTGTTTCAGTGTCCTGATTTTAGCCACCCGCTCGACGTGGCTCCTCAACACCACCAAACATACTTGATACCCAGGAAGGTGGAGACTGCAGTCATCAACCCACTCCCTCCCTCCTCATTTTATAACTAGTCATACTTAACAGTCCCTAGAAAAAGAATAAAGTCCTCTGATGTTATACTGAATAGACCAGCTTGGCCAAAGAGTCAGCCCTTTGCAGACATTTACAGCTACTACACAAGAACTTCACCACCACACGTTTTAAGTATATTGCTACCAGCACAGTCACTTCGTTTCCCACTTTATTGCCTTGTTCCTGTGCATCCTCATTAGTGCCTGCTCTTCAGGCTTGTTATTTTTTCTTCTGTTTGGGTAAGGCAAAGCCATAGTGAAATCCATCTGTGCTAGAAAAATAAAAGTTGTACTTGATACTACATTATTTGACTGAAAATACAAACATAACGTTTCTACCAATCACTGAATTAAGTCCTGATTCAGTCGCTATGAATAACTACTACAGTGACTTTGTTTTGGGAGATCTTGCCGTGCACTTGACTCGACACTTACACATTAATATCATCTCCCTCTCGGCAGGGAGCACTAATGTAGGCAGGACTCCCTCCGAGCTTCAGCTGCCTAGAAATTCAGCATTTATTCCAGCCTAGCTGTATATGACACTTCTGTGGTCTGACACTGATTTCTTCTCCTCCTCTCACGCTGACAACACCTGGATACCCAATTTTTAGGCAGCAAGGGTAAGAATAATGAATCCATCCTACCTGCCCGCTGCAGAGAGGCAATGGAGGGAAAAGCATGCATTTCCTAGAAAGCCACCAGCATCACAACTGACCTGATTTGGGGAAAAAGTGAGCAGCAGCAGCAGCTTTTACAGCAGCCAACAGAAACTGCAGCTGCTTGGCGTTTCTGGAAGTGCCAGTTAAAGGTAATTTTTTATTTTAAAACTTCACAGGATTAATGCAAGCCCTGTGGAAACGCAGCACTGGTGAAAATGAGCATCCTTTGCAGACTGCGTTTACAATTATGTACAAAGGAAGCATTTACGTTTTTTAATTATTTTGTGCCTTTTTTTTGGTAATAATCTTCTACAGGCAGCTCCCAGACAAGCTCCTACTGACTCTGCACCAGGTTCTCCTACAGATCACCCACCCTGCTAAGAGTCAGAGCCCTTGCAGACAGCACCAGGCCTCCTCATCTCCCTTGGTGAGAGGCATGGCCAGGCTCCTGGCTGTGCACATCATCACTTCCCCTACCACACGCCTAATTAATGCCTCCTGCCAGCCTGCTGTGAACATCACCGCACACCCAACGTACAAGAAAGCCAACCAGAAGAGGAACTACAGACCACCACCAGCCTCAGCATGAGGATCTAATCCCACAGGATGCCCTTTGCTGCTTCTCGCACATCAAGCATTCGTAGAGTCCATCTACTGGATTCTCCCCTTCCACATTAAGCCTGGATTAGTGCATGTAGCATTAAATACTCTGTGCAGGAAAACACGTCTGGTAGGGATCAGCAGTAAGTACTACCAGCCTGTTTCTCACATCAATGAGGTTTAAAGCACCTCGATACCGTCCAGCTTCAGAAGCTGTAAAGCAGCATTAAAGCTAGCCACATGGCACTGCCAACTTTGACAAGGTAAAAAATAAAATATAAAAATGAATGAATTAAGGACCAACAAAGCTATTTCAGCTACACATAGAACGACTCGTGTCCTAAGTAATTTCTTGTGGCACAGCTTGGGCCCTAGCCTGGTAATTTAGGACCAGTTTTGGCTTCATTTCCCAGCAGCATCATAAGAACATTTATTGACATCTGTTGTGCTTTTAGAGAACTCAGACCACATCTCTGATCCAAGTTAGAAGATTAAGTCTTGTGAGTCCTGAAAATTCCCTCGCTGCTGCAGTGGCTGAACACTAACCGCAGCAAACTCCTTATATTCTGCATTACTGGCGCTGTTTCATAAGGAACTTAAATCACAAAGGCCTGAACACAAAGAGTGAACTAGTTTTTATTGAAGGACATGAAGCTTCTAAACAATAAAGAAAGTACAGCCAGAAGTCAGTAGAACAAAGAGGAGTCAAGAAGTGAGGTTAACTTACAAAATCGGAGATTGGTTTGACAGGCAGGAAGCCATTCTTGTTTCACGCTAAATCATAACTAAATTAGGAAGTGTATACAAGATATCTGAGGCACTACTAAAAGCTGCCGTTTCCAATGAAAGACTCCTCTGGTATAAACTAGGTTTCCTTTTACCAAGACTTTTTTTAACAGTATATTGTTATTAAATATTTCTCTGTCCGTGTAGCTACGTTCATAAAGCTGGGACTGTTGTTAAGTCACCCAACCCAGACCAAAGCAGCAAGCCTGTGATACGATGGTTAAGGCCACAATTATACCTTTAAAGACAGGGCTTTCACCCACATATTAGTCTTTTGCTCCTCCAAGCAAGATCCAAAATGAGGACTAACAATAGACACAGAACCATAGCTGAGCCGAAGGAAACGGGGGGA